ATCCTAAGAGCAAAGTTCATGTCAAATGTATGTGGGGATCATAATCCTTTTAAGCGTAGTGGAATTGATGTAATTAATTATCTTTAATGAGTAACGGTATTCCTCATGAGTCATGATGATTACTATTCTATGTTGCAGTTGCTCCCTATTCAAGCATACTTTGTCGTCAAAAGAAACCAAAAAAAAAATCGAAGATTGTAAGAAATAGGGCTGTAACAAGGAGTACATATCTACGTATACATCAAACAAATTTAAAGATTAATTAAATTGAGCTATCAATAATGTTAATGATCATAATGGATTTAATTTGATGAGTTAATAATTTTAAAATATTTTTTAATTGACAAGCATAAAAATGCATTATCCAAGAAGGTTAACACAAATTCTTAATATTTAGGTCAGCCTAGTTCTGGCCGGAACAAATCATACCAATCATGGAAATAACGCAAATTATTGAAGAAATTAAAAAAATGTCTATTTCTTGGTTCATAGTTAAATCGTACACATGAATTTCGCTACTGCTTCAGAAAAGAAAATAAAAACTTTCCCTAATCTGGCCACTGATTTTTCACACAAATAGTTACGAGTCAATTATTATCGGTGGACATATGCAATTCAATTTTGTATGATTCATTATGTTAAAATCTTTGTTTCTTCTATCATAAAATATGATAATTTATAATAAGCCACGTCAGTCATTCATGTCATTTATTAATTATTGAAGAGAATCTTACAAATTTCAACAAACCTCAAAGTGATAATAAAAAATAATTAATTAGGACTAATTAAGGGATTTTCTATTTATTTATTTATTTATTGAAAATGTGCAATGATCAAAATTTAATTAAGATTTTTAACCATTTTCATTTTAATATTGTTTACATTAATAAATAATAAGGGTTTCTCTATTTTTGTTCCATAGGTTTGGTTGAAAAAATAAAACAAGCTGCTTAATTAGCAAATTTTTAGATAGGAAGAGTAGGGGATGTTCTCTTCGTATTTCAGTTTTGTGTTTTGAGTTATAAATTCATTTTGAGTTTTGTGTTTTGAGTGTCCATTTTAAGATTGTTGAAAATGTGTTCTTTTTGTCATTTTGAAAAATTATTTTCAAAATTAAAAGAATCCAAAACCCGTTCTCTTCCCAACCCATCCCTTCTCTCTCTCTCTCTCTCTCGTCTCTGTTCCCGCCGCAAACAACCATCACCACCCTCTGTGAAGACCCGTCGCACCCTCCATCACCACCGTCTCTCTCGTCTCTGTTCCCATTCACTCTGCAGACTCTCTACAGACGAAGCATCTTGACGTTGCCCTTACGGCGGCGTTTTTGGTGTTGATGATGGAGGTGATCGGATCGGATGTGCAGTGCCACGCTTGGAGTGGGTGGTTGGTGATGGTCGCTCAGTCGTGTACGATGATGTAGTCCTTCATTGATGATGGAGGTTTTTTTTGTTCGCGGTGGTAGTTCTGCTGCGATTTTTTGTTGGCGGTGGTGTAGTGGTGATGTGTCGGGGCAACGATGGTCATGGGTTATGTTAGCTATGGTGGGTAGGTTTTGTTGGCGATGGTGGGTAGGTTTTGTTGTGGCGGGGACGACGGCGGCGGCGGGTTTCCTTTTCGTTGGCGGTGGTGCAGTGGGTCGTTTTCGATTTTCTTTTTAAATTTTAAACTATTTTTCAAAAATTCATTTTTGAAAACAAGTAAATAAACATGTTTTTACTGTTTTGGAAAATCGAAAACAAAAAACGATAAAGAGAGCAGCCCCTAAATCTTTTAAAAGGAATCCTAATAACTATGTGCCAAGTACTTAATAAAGCTTCACCCCATAAGTTAGATGGAAACTTAGCACTTAATGACATAGTAATTATCATTTCAACTAGTATCCTATTCTTTCTCTTAGTAAACCATCTTGTTCAGGGTGTTCTAGGTGCACTACATTGATATATTATGTCATGTTGTTCATAAAATAGATAAATTCACTAAGAATTTTAATTTTTCTATTATTGACTTTCTACTTCGACTTTGTATATCTTAAACATGTTAAAGGTTTCATCATTATGTTTTGTCATGTAGATATAGCAAAATCTAGAATAGTCATCTATGAGTGTTATGAAGTATCTCTTACCTCCTCTAGTTAACATTCCATTTAATTCACATATATCGGAATAAATTAAGTCTAGCAAATTAGATTTTCTTTTAATCATTTTAGGCTCAACAAATAATTCACATTTATTATGTTCTATGTTTTCATATGAAATTATTNTTTTTCGGATTTTATAACTATTAGATGAATTTTTAATTTATATCATCCAAAACTTACTAACGTCTTTTTATATTTTTCATAAAATCGGAAAACATCAATAAATTTATTTTTTAGTTCGGTTCTAGAAGACAATATTATAGTTACTATATTTACGCATATCTCCTTCCCATGTATTTTATTTCTCAATATTTAAGAGTAGAGGGAAAAAGACTGTTAAGCCACCAAAACTGAAAACCCTAGTAATTATTTGTAAAATCAAAAGTTAAAAGCCTACTTTATTTTGGACTCTATTTTTTGGAGTAGAAACCGAATATCATGCACAATTAATTATTTGCAATTCCATTATTTATTTTTTCTTTTACTTTTTAACTTTTCTACAATGGTACCCCATATTGTGTCATCCAATATGGGGTTCCTTATCTCTGCAGCAAACTTCCCCCATGTCCGTCGCCTCACCCCCTCTGTACTATGACCACTCCGGCGGCACGTGAATTTCACGTGGAAATTCCGACTTTTCTGCAATATTCTCAGAGCTTAAATTATCCTCATCAAATATTAAAATTCTTCCAGGGTTTTTT